CAGTGATTCAGCGCCTTAATAAATGTCTGTACCCGACCTTAAGGGTCACTCCTGTCGCGACTATTCGAGCAAGTATCCTCGAGCTTGCACGCTTTCCTGTATCTTTGAAACATTCGCATCTTAACAATAAAGTAACCCCCAGCGCGTACATTTTTAAGCAGTTTATCTCCTTGCATTTTATTCCCTAAGAGTAAGCCTTTAGCACAATCTACCTCTTTTCGAGAATGAATGACATGTTTCATCTCAAATATTTCTTTGTCTTCTATTAGCGTACGTACTTTCTGGTGGACATACGAGATGTACAGTTAAATTCTTCAGACGATTGGAGGATTATCGACCTTGTAAACAAAAAGCGCACGGATGCCATTGCCAAATTTTCGTCAGCCTTTGCGGCTGCCAGTGCCATTGGTGTGGTCACGACTGAGGACTCGACCGGTATGTACCGCTTCTTGGCAGTTGGTAACATAAGCCTGGTCATGGCTGTTACCTCCAATGTCTCCTATATCGTCTCTCCGCTGATACCCACCTCAGAAGTACGATTTGCAGTCGCTGCGACCTCGACGCTGGACAATATTTTGTCAAAGGTACTGTCAGAGCCCCCCTAATAAACTCACGTTTAACGATAATGGCTGCAATACGCTATTTTTTAAATCAGAGTTTTAACCTGAACTGTTCCTTATTTTTATTAGTCGCCCGCATGGGATTTTGTTTTTAAAGTGCGGGAGGAATTTCCCTTTATTTTCTCGCGCCACATTTGGCAGCTCATTTTTCTAGTCAGTACAAAATGATGTTTCTTTACGCACGGATAGCATGCATTTTTTAAAAAAAATTTCAAGCTGATCTTGGGCGATATGAACAGTATCCGTCGGCTTTTAGATCGTTCTCCTGTGATTTTAGTTTGGAGGGCAAAGTGTTCTTGAGTACTGGCCTTGACAGTCGAATTGTTATTCCTGGTTTATTTTGTGTAATCCGCTAGTGATTAGCCAACCCCAGCAGCACAGAGATACCTCGTGTACAAATACTCTCAAATGCCTTGTTCGACGGAGCCAGGACGAGGACTTTTAATGCAAAACTGGTCGACCGATATAAGAACGCATTTATCCCTGCAAAATTTCTTCGTCTAAGGCCTCCTTCTATCGTGGCCTATATTAGTTGCTTAAAGGATACATGGTATCGATCTATTCGAGGATTAACGCGGCAGCATGGGGAGAATAATGACGTTGAAGGTGGAGAAAGGGGGAGGGGGATT